CGTCATTTAAGATTGACTCATGTTTTTATAGTAAATAGATTCTAAAACCTTTCCCCGGGCAATGCTCGCACCAAGAGAAAGTTCGAACAGTAGACTCTCAGTGGCCTTAGCTTTCAGCCGGCCAACACAAAACACAGAACAAGATAATAAAGGAATTAACAGAGCAAAGCTTCAAATTTTAGTGAGATTATATCAATTCGGTCCTTCTTCAAAGAGGAACGGGGAGGGGTTTATGTAGTGGCAGAAATCGAACAAGTAAACAAGGAAAATTGTAAAAATCAAACATAAATAAGGAAGTATTAACATGCAGAATCAATAAAAATCGGATTAGGGAAAAAAATGGGTAAACCCTAGTTGACAGAAATCAAAGATTGGCCGGAAATCTTGGCTAATCGGACCCATATAGCCATGGTCTTGATGTATATGGATTAGATATTGTCCAGATTCAAATGGTTGAAGTGAATGGGCAGAATCGGAGAGATGGTACTTGCCATGTTTAGGCAAGTACTAAGTAATACCATGTAGAAACACCCAGTAGCGTAGAAACACTAGTATGGTAAGTGAATGATGGGAGAATCCCATTATCGACGGGATTAGGAAAAGATTTGGAGAAGGCAGCGATTAGGGTTTTCTGGTGGGAGGAGGAGCGTTTGAGGGCGGCTGGGTAGAGACAATGGGTCTCTAGGATTAGGGGGTCAGATTTAAAAGAAGGGGTTAGTTTATTAGGAGTCGTTGATCATTTGAGATCAACGGCCAAGATGAAAGAATGGGGTTGGACGGGTCATTTAAACGGGTTACCGGCCGGGTTATTTTTAAAAAGGTGATTTGGTTTTGGGCTTGGGGTAATTGGGCTAATTCTGGTCCGAAAATTGGTTAAAATTGGGCTATTATTTAAATACCCAAAATTTATCAAAATAATTTATAAAAAATGCTTGATAAATAAATAAAAATATTATTTATGCACTAAAATGATTAACATTATAAAAATATAAAATGCTATTTTGACGTAACTAATATAAATAAAGAGCATTTCTGTACAGATATAGGCTATTACTGCAAAATTGCGCAAATAGCTTTAAAATATTAATGTAATTACATAAAATGAAGTAAAATATTTGAAACATGTATTATAGGTGCAAAAATAATAACTTTAAGTAGTTAAGTCATCATAAAATAATTTGAAGGAGTGATTAATAAATATTCAAGCAATTTAAATACAGAAAAATTAAATTTAAAGCTCTAATAATTATAGAAAATTATAGAAAAATGATTGTTTAGATTTGTAAACTCAATAATGATGTTTTGAAAGTATATATACATATATTTTGAGAAAATATGAGGGTAAAAGTGGGTATCAACAGGTAATTGATATTTTTGAGAAGGACAACACTTTTAGGTCCTGTTATTTTTAAACCAAAATAAAATGTCATTTAAGCAGAAAGATTAACAATATCTTAGGTTACGTACGTATGTTTAGATAATATTTTTGGCACCAAAATAAGACTAACAGGATTAGGTAGGTTAATCCGATCAACAGGACATGATTTTAGAACATATATTCGAGGACCTGGAATTTCCCTGAAAACTGTGATTACTCAACTATTAATCAGTTTCACTGTAATTCATTTTCATAGGGTACTGGTAATATGGCAGACCACATAAATATGGTATGCAACATTCCTCTCTCTTTCAGTTCAAAATTGCCCTTATAATTGGAAATTTTACTGCAATTGATTCGACTCTTTGAAGCGTTTTATTCGATATATACTTTTGTTATGAGATGAATTGTTAATCATACTTTCGGAAACAGAAACAGAAATACTGTAAAGAAGCGGAACTTTAAAACTAAGTGAAAGTTGAATATGTTACCTATGAATCCTGTAAAATCAATTCTAACGAATATGGTATTTCAAGCTATCCGGGATTACCCGTATTCGAACAACTCTAACTTTGATATTCCATTGCATCGAATTGCTTGAAATTTGTCTGATTTCATTAACTTGTGTAGCCATATTTGCAAAGCAGTTGTAATCAGAAAGGTATATTGAGTTGATAAAATAAGGTGTAGATAAAATAGGGATTTTTGGTTGGAAGCCCACGTTTGGGAGCACGATCAATCGTGGGTTCCTCGGACGATTTTTTTTTTTTGGTCAATTTTATTTATAAAAATAATTGCAAATTTGAGTGTGTAGTTGTTTATTAAAAAACGGCCAAAAAAAGTGGGAGGAATTTTTTTTAAAATAAAGCTGTGTAATAAATAAATAGAATAACTGTCAACACGTTTGAGGAAGTATAAAATTCTTTTGAAATTCGCAGGTTGTAAGTTAATTTCCTCATTTGTAGTTTATATCAATTTTCAACTTCAACTATCCTGGACATTTGTCCTAAATTTTGACACGTGTTGAATTGTGATTATTTCACTTGGCACCCTATCATAGTTTTGATTTTGTTATTCTATATAGATATTTTATTTATAAAAATAATTGCAAATTTGAGTGTGTAGTTGTTTATTAAAAACGGCAAAAAGAGTGGGAGATTATTTTTAAAAATAAAGATGTGTAATAAATAAATAGAATAACTGTCAGCACGTTTGAGGAAGTATAAAATTCTTTTAAAATTCGTAGGCCGTAAGTTAATTTCTTGATTTGTACTTTAAATCAATTTTAAACTCTAACTATCTTGGACATTTGTCCTAAATTTTGACATGTGTTAGAATTGTGATTATTCCACTTGTCAGCCTATCATAGTTTTGCTTTTGTTATTCTATATAGATAGATATTTTATTTATAAAATAATTGCAAATTAGAGTGTGTAGTTGTTTATTAAAAACGGCAAAAAGAGTGGGAGATTATTTTTAAAAATAAAGATGTGTAATAAATAAATAGAATAACTGTCAGCACGTTTGAGGAAGTATAAAATTCTTTTAAAATTCGTAGGCCGTAAGTTAATTTCTTGATTTGTACTTTAAATCAATTTTAAACTCTAACTATCTTGGACATTTGTCCTAAATTTTGACATGTGTTAGAATTGTGATTATTCCACTTGTCAGCCTATCATAGTTTTGCTTTTGTTATTCTATATAGATAGATATTTTTGTGATTATAGAAATATATGCTTAACAATAAAATAAAAATTTAAACAACAACATACCCAATGTAATTCTACATAATGGGGTCTAGGAAGGGTAGTGTGTGCATAGACCTTACCCCTATCTTATGAAGATAGAGAGTTTATTTTCAATAGACTTTCGGCTCAAGGAAAATATATACACAACAGTAATGAAAAAGAAATACAAGTCACGAAATGAGACAATAACAATAATAAGATAATAGGATAACGAAGCGATATAAATAACATGTAGTAATGAAAATCTAATACTAAGAAAATACCCGAATACATACAAATGCTGCTGGTAGAGAAAAGAATAGGAGGGTGCTTGGCTAAGCTTATAAGCTGGTCAAACTGGCTTATAAGCACCTTTTGGCTTATCTACGCGTTTGGTAAACACTCAAAGTGCTTATAAGCTAAAATCAGCCATAAGTCATAAGTCGGTCACCCCCAACTTATGGCTTTTCAACTTATAAGCACTTTTAGTTTGACCAACACTTTTACTAGTTTATCCTTAATAATATTTTCTAATTCACAAAATACTTTTCCCAAAATAATTTTTTTAACTTTCTCTTCATTCCATATTCGTTATTAATTCTTTTCTTTACAAAAAAGTTTTTAATTTATAATCTTTTGAAAAAGATTCAAGGGTATTTTAGTCATTTTAACAAAAGAATAGCTTATCAGCATTTTTTAATCAAACACATCAACTGCTTATTATCAGTTTCAGCACTTCTATCCAAACACGTAAATGCTTATTTTAAAAATCAGTTTCAGCATTTAAAAAAACTTTTCAGCACTACAAGCTTATCAGCTATTTACAATCAACTAATCCAAACGGGCTCTACGACTCAACTGCCTACTAATTTCTATCATAATTCTCGAACTTCACTCCCTCGTATCAAGAAAAGCATATGCACAACAATGATGATTTATTCAACTGCACATTCTCTTTCTCTTTCTAGGATTTTCTCTCTCTTAATTTCTTCAGGTACCAATCATCTTCTTCGCTGCATTTTCTTTAGTTTCATTTCACTTTCTTAGTGTTTTTCGATCATTCTGTTCCGCGTGATTTTGTGTTTTACGGCACCACTATTTGTTGAAGTCCTTTCTCGTTTTCTTAGTTCAGGCATCTGTTTCCTCGTGTAAGCGTAATAGTATTAGAATTTTCTTTTGTAAAAATTAATACACGCGCATTCTTTTGTAAAACTGCATTTCGTGTTGTATTCGGAGTTTAATTTCGTGCTGTATTGGAGTTTTTCTTCTATCGGTTTCATATTCTGATTATGTGGTTCTTTACTTACTTGATTTCATGAACATAAATATTTCAAGTTTTTTCTAAGAGTCGATCGTTTAAATTTGATGCTGACGGAAAAGTCAGTAAATTTTGCTTTGCGTAATTGACTCGAATAAACTTGGTGAATATTGCTCTGTATATTTCCTTTGGAAACTGGGAACTGACTTCTACAGAAGCCTGTAATTGTAACTTCTGTTTGATTGTCTGCGCGCTAAGAAAAATGTNATATATATATATATATATATATATATATATATATATATATATATATATATATATATATATAACGAGAGCTAAATGAGAATCTGTTTTGAACCATATTTGTCTTTTTTCTTGAAATCATAGTGAAAGTTCCAATTCAATACTAAACAAGTCCGATTTTGCAAATTTTGACTTCTGTATCAAATATCATATATGCCATGCATCTTTATCTTATTTAATTTGTTCCTAATAAAATTCCATATGAGGATAGTGCACTATGAACTTACAGATAATTCCAGAATTCGATACCTTATATATTCCAGCACTTACAAATTTCTGTTTAAGTGTATCCAATCATTCAATCCTTGTTTCTCCTTTTTAAGTTTTTCTTCCTTTTTCTGTTGCCTCTGGCTAACGACATTGCATTCCACTGCTTAATCACTTAAAGATTTGCTTCTATTTACATGTGGGAGATTCTTATATGCTACTATTAAATTTGATGTGTTCAGCTCGCAATCATGGTTCAGCCTGATGAAGCTCCAACCAAAGCTCCTGTAAATCCACCTATTGATGAAACGATACTTTCTACTATGACACGGAAACCAGCTCCAGCTCATCCTTGGCATGATCTTGAGATAGGTATTTGATCACTACTTTGAAATAACTTATATTTATGTTTTGCTGATGCTGCTCATGAACTTATATTTATGTTTTGCTGCAGGATTAGGTGCTCCTAAGGTTTTTAATGCGGTAAGGATGCTTTATATTATGTCGAACTGTCAAAATTCAAATCTTATGTTCTTCCACCTAAACATGTCTGTTTATGTAATTACGGAATTCATCCTTTGATATGAGTTGAATAATATCTAGCTCGCTCATTATTTGCTCCCTACTTTTCAATTTATATGATACTATTTCAATTTTGAGATGCCAAAAACATTTCCACCATCCATTTCTTTACAACTCACAGATTACATGAATTCACATTCATTAAATTATAGTATGAATTTAAACTTTGGTGTTATGTCTTCTGTTTCAATCAAACTTTTGAACATTACCTTAATTGTACTTTCTCCAGCTATCATTAATATGATATATATATAAAAGTCAATTTAACATCTTAAAATTCATGTTTAGTCAAATACCATCATATATAAAATGGACCTAATTACAAATAGACTGTTTACCTTTAAAGTAGTTATGTAACAAACAACATGATCATTTTCTAGGCCAATACACTGCTTTTACATTTGTTAGACCAGCTAACTTCGTCTGAATCGACTAACAAGTGTTATTTTCCTTCTCTCTGAAGCTTTTTCAGCTAATACAATAATGTCACTTTAGAATGTAATAAACTTCTCTATTTGAAACTTCTAAACTTGGTTGCTCAATAAAGAGGGGTTTTATTTACTTTTCCCCTAAATATTTTGGCGAGGCAAGTGATATGGTTAAGCTGATCAATTGTTTGATCTTTGCAGGTGATTGAGATCAGCATGGGGAGCAAGGTGAAGGATGAACTTGATAAGAAAACTGGATTAATCAAGGTATTAAGGGGTCAGTTTATCATTTTGAAAAAGTAAAATTATGGAATCTTTTGCTGAGTTACATGAAACAATTCTGTCGTCTGTAGGTTGATCGTGTTCTTTACTCATCAGTAGTATACCCCCATAACTATGGCTTTATCCCTCGTACAATTTGTGAGGACCATGACCCTATGGATGTATTGGTCATCATGCAGGTAATTAGCAACCATCATCCCGAGAAGTAACAGCATATATCGCAGTAACCTCCTCCTCATTATTTTCTAGAATAAGCTGCTTCTTGATTGCATCATTCTTTGATATATTACAGCTTATCTTAGACTTGCCGCTAAGGGTTTGTGAAATTTCTTTTATGACTTATAAAACACGCGGAGACGGACAAGCTGATCTTGTCTAGTAATAGTCCCAGTATAGTCATATGATCAGTGTTTTTTTTCCCTTCAGATACTCTTTAGATCAGATTTTGACTTTGATCAAATCCAGCATTTTAAGTAGTTAAATAATGCAAAATATTGGAGCTCCTCTGATGCTGAATCATCTGTATCTACCTTCTGCTATTTTCACAACACTTTTTGTCGAACTGGTTGGTGTTTCCGAAGAAGCCAAGCTTGTTAATTAGTAACCGAGCTTGGAGGCTACTTGTCAGTGCAGTCCATGCATCTCGTGAGTTTGGCAAATTTACTATTTGTGGCCTTTTTAATACATAAAATTTGCTAATACAAGAAAATTTAATATTGCTGTGGCTATTAGTTCTATGATTAGTCCATTAAGTTCATGGAAATGCCTACGATAGCCTATTCTTCAGTTGATTTTATGGTGCAAATGTACAGGAACCTGTTCTTCCAGGTTGCTTTCGCAGGGCTAGAGCAATTGGTCTTATGCCTATTATTAATTATACACTAAAATTACTTTGATCTCAATAGTTAAATGGAATATTAACTTGAGTCTGAATTCAGGGAGCAAAAGATGACAAGATAATTGCAGTCCGTGCTGATGATCCTGAATATAGGCTAGCTAGTCACTTTAAAGACGTACGGTATCCTTTTTCAAACTCAAAAACCGTGGATTTTCAATTTCAGAAGTTTGTGCATACTGCATACACAATGATGAATGTAACGTTTGACAAAAAAATCAGACAAGAAAAATGAGAACAAAAAAGTTAAAGTTGATGACTTTCTACCAGCCTCTGAAGCCGCGAAAGCAGTAGAGCAGTCCATGTAAGTTGTATTTGTTCTTCCTTTCTTGAACGTGCTTAATTTGGATAGGAACCAGATTAAAATCAGATCAATCTTATAAGAATAATAGATCTCTTTGTATAATTAATCAACTTTAAATCAATCCCCTTTCCCTGTGTTGTTACAACTCTTTCCAAAATGTAGAAATAAATTTGCTTTTGTAATACGTGGAGTAACTTTTTTACTTGATTTATAAAATTGATTTAGTAATCCTTCCTGAGAGTGGCTAGCTTTTCCTCTTATGATTTACTTAACAAAAAAGAATGAGATCTTTCCATTGACTTGAATCTATTGCTCTAGCTGGTACAGGTTGGAGAGGGTTAAATATATGAGTTTTCCTCTTTTCTTCTCTACTTTGCCTTTCTCTATTTGCTTTTCCTTATGTTTGTGAAAATTCTGAGTCTATTGAGCTGAGAAACTTTAAAAAAATAAAAAAAATGATTCTCAATAATTAGATGATTCTGCTATGGAACAGATTGTATTCCCGAGCTATGGGTTCCTAGGCTCGATACAGATGGTCATAATCGTCAGGATGTCACATATTTAGTCAAATGGCCTTGCTATCGTTGATTTGCAATGATAATTCAAGCAATTCTTTTTTCAAAAATTCAAAAGTAACTTTGTAAATTCAAATTTATAAACTCTAATAAACAAATGTCAGACCCCCTATCCCTGGATAAAATCTACGTACACTCTACTCTCCAGATTCCACTAGTGGATTCTACTAGGTGGTTGTTGTTGTTATAACGGAAAAGAGTCAGATATATCCCTCTGCTATCAAATATTGTTTAAAGTTGTCCTCCGTTATACTAATCGATCGAAATTGTCCTTACCGTCTTACTATTAAACATATTTGTCCCTCATTTGACCGAAGGGACACGTGGCAGCCTTCTAAACATTTTTAATACCCAACCAATTGCCCATACTAAATACCCGATATCCATAACCTTATACGTGACCCATCCCAAGACTTAATCAATTAAATCCTCGTCCCTTTCTCTTAGTTTATCTCCTTCCCAAGGGAAGCTCCTTCCTCCATGCTTCCAAATTTCTTACAAATTGAATCTTTTTTGTTTCAGAGCGTAGACTAAGAAATTGTTAGAATAATTTCTTGTTTATTTCCTTAATTTCCAGATCAGAAATCATACAAAAAAAAAAGGAAATTTTGTGTTGTTGGATACTTGAAAATCCTAAAATTGGTTTGATTGTTAGGAGTTGCTCTTGATTCAGAATATTGCTAGCAACTGATTTAAAGAACCGGGTAAAAATAATCGAACTACAACTGATGGGTTCTTAAGTTATCCAAGTTGGAACTAAAATTGTTGAAGTGTTAGAATTATTCTACTGAAGTAATTATCTGGGTCTATTTTGTTGAGCTAAAATCTTAGATTAACCACTAATTTTTAGCTTGGTTAAAGAAGATTTGCAAGTAAAGGAGCTGTGGGGTTCCTTGGCGAATTAGATTTAAGGTTAAAAAAAAAATCTTTACTTTTCGAGTCTAAAAATTCAAGCAATTAAGCCGTGAAAAATCTTGTTAGTGCTTTTATGATTGAAAAAATGAAATTGAAGGATTTGATAGTACTTTGCAGTTGGCAGTTGAGCATTAATGTGATTCTAATTTATAATGTTTGCTGATGAGAATTGAGGTTGCAAATATTACTGCAAATTTGGAGTTCTTTGAACTTGAATTGTCTCTATATTGAAATTCTTTTAAATATTGTTTTCTTGAGAATTGAATCGTAGTGTTGTATGTGCTTAAATCAAAGAGATTAACTACTGCTCGTTGGAAGAATTTAGTGTTAAATTTAAGGATCATCATTTTTGAACACTTCCATATTTTGGAGGAAGGAGTTTTTCTTGTGAAGGAGATAAATAAGTCTTGAGATAGGTCGGGTTTAGAGTTATGGATATTGGGTATTTAATATGGATAACGGTTTAGATATCAAAAATACTTAGAAGGCTGCCACGTGTCCCTTCCGTCAGATGAGGGGCAATTATATTCAATTGTAAGACGGTAGGACATAATTTTGATCGATTAATATTTTATATCTTACCCTTCTCCGCTGATGTAATAAACAAATGCCACGAAGTCATAAAGTTGTAAGGGAAAAAGAATCTCAAACGTGTGAATTTTGTATTAGCCATGTCAGAAACCGAGTTGTCTGGCAGAATTTCAGTCAATAAATCCATATTCATTTTTAACTTTTCCCTAGAAGGAGTAGTCCTTATTCATCTCCTTTATTTAATCAGATTCCCTCACAGTCCATATTTGTTTGAGCCAACAATTTTGTCGATCTTATCCACAGTACACTACACGTTACATTTTTTTTTCACTACACATTACATTAGTTTCCCAAAATAGTCCATATTACTCTATTTCTTTTTCCAAGTTAGTTCATAGGAGTATTTTATTTTCTTTCCAAAATAGTCCATAGGAGTATTTTATAAATTTTAATAAAATTATAATTTTGTTAAAAAATTTATGGTCTAAATACAACAATAACAACAATAACAATAACATAATCAGTATAATCTCACAAGTGGGGTCTGAGGAGGGTAGTGTGTACGCAGACCTTACCACTATCTGGAAAGATAGAGAGACTGTTTTCGATAGACTCTCGGCTCAAGATTGAGTGGAAAAGAAGAAAAGGAAAAAAAGAAGAAGAAGAGGAAGAAAGAGAGGGGAGAAAGAAAGACGAGGGAGATTAAAGACGATAAGGAAAAAGAGGAGAAAATATAGCATCAGATAGTAACAATCAGGGAGCAACAATTTTCAGTAAAAGGGAGAAAGAGTAGCATCAAATAGTAACAATCAGGGAGCAACAATTTTCAGTAGCAATTTTCAAAAATAATGGACAAGATTGCTAAGTATCAGATATAATAACAAACTAAAATGAAGTAACTTTCAACCAACAACAAGAATAATACTAGTACTACTGGTAAACCTAGGAGAAACTCACAACTACCTGTCAACCTACCACCTTAATTCTCGACCTCCACACATTCCTATCGCTAGTCATGTCCTCGGTTAGGTGAAGCATTGTCGTGTCCTGCCTAATCACCTCTCCTCAATACTTCTTTGGCCTACCTCTCCCCAATACTTCCTCAAACCCGTCATGGTCAACCACTCACACCTCCTGACCGGAGCATCTATGTCTCTCCTTCTCACATGCCCAAACCATCGTAGTCATTATGGTCTAAATAAGTTATAAATATTTATGTGACTAAAAATTATTTTATTAAACATAAAATAAAAAATTTAAAATTAAATATTATTGTTATTATATTAAAGGAAATATCACATTATAATTTGGAAAGGGTTATGGTTTTTCTCCTCAAAATAATCTGATATTACTGAATTTCTTATTCCAAAATAAGTAGTGTAGTACCTTCAAATGTATCTATACGCCGTATACACTATATGTACGGTGCTATTATCTTTTTATTTTTCGGATAAGGCGTTTCTGTCTGATTTAAGAGCTCTACTTCTTCAGTCTCTTCAGTCCAATTTCTATTCCCATGCCAATCTTCACGCTATAGTTATTCAATTTCTCCTTCCAAATCTCAACAATTTTTCTCCATATTGATTCATTGTTTTGGCTGTAGAGCTGATCCCTGAGCTAGGGTTTTGGAATTAGGGTTTTTGTTTGTGTGGAAAATTAATATTGAAGAGCATCGAACAATGCATTCGGTGCCTTCTGTATTTGATCTCAGCTTCGCTGCATTCTTCTATGGTTTATTGTGTTTTTATCGTCTGAAAAAAGTTGATTGGCCTAATAATAGTCTTAGTTAACGTTTACTTTTTAAATCGTTGTCGTCTTTTAGTATAGTTGGTCAGTTTTTAGCGGATTTGTTTGTGCTGATGCTAGATTGGATTTGGCTCGTCTTATTTGGAGGATCTGATAAGGTTCATTTCGATCAACAAACTCAAAGGTAATAATCTAAAATATGTCTTACTTGATTCTGTTTGACTTGATTCTTCTTTAACAATTACTAAAGCATGAATATTAGCTACAGTAGTTTGCACCCAAGGGTGTAGCCTAGTGGGCAGTGACGTGGGAGGACAACCATCTGGTCTTAGGTTCAAATCTCAGCCGAGTCAAAAATACCAGGTGATTTATTCCCATCTGCCTAAGTCGTGGGCAGAATTACCCGTACCTGTTGCCTGCTAGTAGGTAGCAGGTATCAAGGCGAAGTGCACACCGTCATAAAAAAAAAGTAGTTTGGAATAACTTTCTAGGCACTTCAACTGTTATTATGGTGGTGGTTGCATATTGTATCTGATTGTCTGTGCAGCTTACATTTGCTTTAATCATTTTTTTAAAACCTTGTGGGTGGATTTTTGGGTTTTGGATGTATCTGAATGGCTTGCAATACGCATATTTTGTTTGATTGAATAGTCCGATTTGGACAGAAGCAATTACTGCATTTAAATTGGTTTGTGGGTCGAGGCTGAGATGGTTCGGGCATGTTAAGAGGAGAAGCGTTGACGCTCCTGTTAGGAGGCGTGAGAGGTTGACCATGGCAGGTTTGAGAAGAGGTCGAGGCAGACCTAAGAAGTACTGGGGAGAAGTGATTAGGCAGGATATGGCGCTGCTTCATATCACTGAGAACATGATCCTAGATAGGAGGGTGTGGAAGTCGAGTATTAGGGTAGAAGGTTAGCAGGTAGTTGAGAG